AGACAGACTGATACAAATCTCACAGACTAAAGCAGCAACACTCACTCTGCATGTAGCATGCAGGTAGATGCCACATACCTAGGAATCACCCGATAACTCACAATTGAAATTACTCTACCACTAATGCCATGAGACCAGGTTGTGAAAATGAGTGCTACGTAAAATACTGTTTAAAAAAGACAAATGAATACTGGGACCTAGTTTACTTCTAAACATTGTTTTCCTGTTACAGTACCTAAAGAAGTGAAGGCAACAGACGCAATTTGACAATAAACTCAGAACAGATATTTGCTATCTTTTAGAAATTGACTTACAGCTTCCTTGAGAAGTTTAGTGCCAAGTATCACTGCAATAAAGAAAGCCTAACTGTCCAAAGAGAGCGAGCTGTCAGCTGTGCTTGCAACCATGTTCTGGATGGCACATAACCAAGTGCAGCTAAAGACATGGGTTAAAAGAGTATGAAGGGACAAAAACATACAGAAAAACCTCCTCATGGTAACACTTTCTGGTTTTGTCCATTCTAGCATTTTCTCTCCTTACTTCTTCGGTGTCTTCCACAGTTTAGCAGCCTTTGGACTTTCAAGGTACACATGTTGCTACTTCTACCAGTTACCCCCCACTTTTGTCCGTTTCAAACCCACAGGTACTTTCATACAGCCCTCCCAGCTGTAGGGCTCAAGCCAGCTTTGTTTAAGAGGAATTAAGCGATATCTTTTAAATGGCCGAAGCAAATATTTTGAAATACATTTTAGACTTACTGTACTGAGGTAAGAACAAACTCTTCTGTCACACTGCCAACAGCTCTCCAAGCCTACCTTTACCTAGAACTCAAAGCATAATCCCCCCAGCCATCTGTAGTCAACCAGCTAGAGATACAGAACAAAAAAAGCTAAAAATAAAAAAAAATATAAAAATAGCTATAAAAATAGCTTGGTATCCAGAGCATTACCTTGCCTGTGCTTTGTAAGATTGTAGTTCTTGTCCTCCATACTCTCTCCCTGCTGACAATATCTCGGGTTACATCCACTTCAGCATCAACAAAACTTCTCTGTTTAAGAGCAGTTATGTCATCATCCAGATCAGTTTTGATAGTGGATCTTTTCTTTGCCATAATTTTTGCTTTGATAGCAGCAATTTTTTCCACTGACATGGCTTCAGACAAGGACCTAAATGAGCAAAAATAACAGAAGAGACTGAATAATTGCACAAACAATTCTTCCAAAAGAATCTGTGAATGAGTAACTTCATCCTGAAGTTTACAGGAAGATTACAGGAGCTTGGCATTGCTGTTTTGGGCATGACAAAAGACTCTATCCTGGTATTAGCACAAAAACCATCAAAAAATCCCAGCTATAACAAGCAGAAGTAAAGATTGCAAATGTAAAGCATCAGGACTGACACTACCATTTACAACATTCAGCTCCCCGTTACTTTCAGTGGATTACAATTTTGTGTCCAGTCAACCAATCCCTTGCTGCTCTGAGGCTTTCAAAGCATTAATCTAAATTTCAGCTGAGGTGCTGTTACACGGATTTGGCCACTTGGAAGATGTGTTACCTTTTCAGAGCAGGTAGGCCAAACAAACAACAGATGGTAGTAACTTTGTCCACATTAATCTCTGAGGTAGCTCAGTTCAGTCCAAGAGTGCAACATCTTTATCTGTTTGCTTTTAGTTGTAGATACAGAATTTGGTTGCCAAACAGCAAACCCTATTGTTTTGCTGGTGAGCCAAAGAGAAAAAAAAATGACTGAATTGCACAATCCTAACTGCACATAGCCATTCAATTTTACGTGATTTTTTGTTGAGATTACATTGAACAATTAATACAAGTAGTACTGGTGGTGAAGTATTCTTTTACATCTAAGCTGTTGGAAAGGGAACTTTTATTGTGTTGCTGTTAAAGTAATACATGACAAGCACAAAGTTCAAACTCACTGCCTGTAAATGTTGTCTTTTTTTTTTTTAAAAAAGCACGGGCTTTTACATTCAGTATTAAAAAAAAATCTGTAAATATAGAACACAAAATAATTACAAATAATACTCTGTAATCCTCACTGCAGCATTGACTCACAACTTCAAAACAAAGTTGTGATACACTCAAGCTAGTATCCAAATTATACAAAACAATGTGTGTACTGTTTGATTTATTTGATCCTCAGACTTTCTGATTTTAAGACAGATATAACAATCAGATTTTCTTTTTTTTTTTTTTCAATAGTTTCCTTTTAAGTACACCTATACAAGAGACAGAGTGGAAGAAGACATTCAAAATATGTATTTTTCATGTGGTTAGGTATAGTATGGATTCTATAAATGTCTCTACTCTACTATATTAATTGTTGCAAGGCTAACTGTATAAATTTAATCCCAGTAAAGGACAGACAAGTATTCACAGTACTGTTTATGCTCAAGAGATAAATTTCTCAAGAATGCAGTCGGTCTATCAAGTGAAACTACTTATCTACAAAATCCATTGCAGACAAAGCAGTACATTAATTCACACTCATACACCTTAACTGTAGGAAGCACGACTCCCATTTTACATTATGGGAGCTGACACACCAAAGAAATTAAGCAGCTGCCTTTAGTTTAAGACTTCTGAACCCAGGTACTTGAAAATGCACTAGAGTCTGATATCCTGTTAAGCCCAAGATCCCCAGCATCAACAAGATCTTGCAAGAATTTCATTCCCTCTCTGCTTGGCTTTGGAAAGATATGCTGCAAGACTCAAAACAACTCAAAAAAAAAAAAAAAAAAAAAGACTCATTCTTTGCAAAATTCTGGATGTATACAACAGAAGAGGAAAGGTGATGGGCAAGTTTTTAAGCACTTGAACACTGATTAGTACTTATGGCAATCACAGTGCGTTACCCTCTGGTAGCCTACTGCCTCTTCAGAGGCAAACAGCTCACCTCTGTAGGGAGTCAAACAGAGGTTGTGTCACCCTTTGATCAGTTCTCACAATGTCTTCCTCCTTTTATATGCAAGACATTCGTCAGTACAGGATATTTTTCTTTGAAACAGAGAGATGATCAGCTACCCCTTGCAGTCCTGCTCATTGTATTCAACTGCTTAGATAAACACCATGGCAGAAGAAAGCAGAAATGGCAGACTTGATGGGAGGAAGAGACAACTGTCCACTCACTTCTGAAGACAAACTGAATTTCATGCCATGACATCTGAACTTCCACTCAAGAACGGAATCTGATCAGGCACGAAGTTCTGCCTCCTCAGACATTACTAATAATAGCACCTAAGTGAGGGAGGCTCCCACTGAGAGCTGCTGGACAGAAATAAAACTGGCTGCCTTGAGCACAAGAATTGTTATCAGTCCTTTAACCAAGCCAAAAAGGCCAATGTTATCCTGGGGTGCATTAAAAGTGTGGCCAGCAGGTCGAGGGAGGTTATCTCCGCCTCTGCCCTGGTGAGGCCACATCTGGAGTACTGTGTCCAGTTCTAGGACCCCAGTTCAAGAGGGACAAGGAACTATCAGAGAGAGTCCAGCAGAGGGCTACTAAGATGGTTAGGGGGCTGGAGCATCTCTCCTGTGAGGAAAGGCTGAGAGATCTGGGGCTCTTTAGGCTGGAGAAGAGAAGACTGAGAGGGGACCTTATCAACAAATATCTAAAGGGTGGGTATCAAGAGGATGGGGCCAGGCTCTTCTCAGTGGTGCCCAGAGACACGACAAGGAGCAACGGGCACAAACTGGAGTGCAGGAAGTTCTGCCTCAACAGGAGGAAAAACCTCTTTACATTAAGGGTGACAAAGCACTGGAACAGGCTGCCCAGGGAGGCTGTGGAGTGTCCTTCCCTGGAGATATTCAAAACCTGCCTGGACGCATTCCTGTGTGACCTGCTCTGGGTGAACGTGCTTTAGCAGGGGGGTTGGACTAGATGATCTCCAGAGGTGCCTTCCAACCCCTACCATTCTGTGATTATCCATTAAAAAAAAGTATTCCTACCTGATCTGCTCTGTTTGCACGATACCTTCTTTATGTCCTTCCAATCGAGCTGCCAACCGCTCCTTGTCAAGGCGCACACACTCTTCATCCTAGCAGTAACAGCAAAGTTTAATTGTAATGTTTAATTTTCTGTGCATTCTCTTTAAAAAAATAAGTACAAATAGAATTAAAGCTTTTTTTTTTCTTTGAAATTTGCAAGGACAATCTTTATTTCCAAGTATTTTTGATCTGTGCACTGTACCGCTATTGGAAATTTCCTCTTGAGAACCACAAGTATAATTAGAAGAATGAAAAGGAAGCTACCATTCCTTTGTAAAGAGCCTTGCTCAGACAGTGATTGAGAACAATAGCTAAATCAGTCAGAGAACTTAAAGCTGGCAAACAATGCACACATTCAGGTAGGACAATACATACACACACACGCACACATATTTAAGGTAGATTTATCGGACACTCAAATTCACCCAGATATTTAATCAGTGACGTTTTAAAAGAAAAGAACTGTTCAAACTGTTATATCTTTACGCAGAACTTGTATAAATGGCATTCCTAGTAAGTACAAAAAATAAGTCAAGAGTAAGAACGCCTCTAGTTACTCAAGACAGGTTTGAGACAGACGTGTAATTTGAGAAAGCAGTAAGAGAGATGTAATTTTATGCCATCTTTTCAGCTGCTTAACGCTGGTACCACTTGTGTTCAATCTGTCTTATTCCTCAAAATTAAATGGGCATCAAGCCTGTCCTATTGCTAAAAGGCTCTTTGGAAAGGCTGAAGCACAGCAAAACCAGTCATACCCATGTATCAGGAGAGACGTGGAATCTCTACCACGAGCCAATCTCCAAATAACTTAAAACAGATTTTACAGACTCTGAGCTGCCGAAGCAGCAAGGAAACAAGCAAAGAGAAGATGGCCATAAGCTCATTAAGCTCATATGCAGAATTCTTGATTCTCCAAATTATGATGGTGAAGATACACAGTTTCAAAACATACTGGCATCACAACCACATAGGGTAATGTAGAACAAAAATCTATAGATCACTAATAGGTCATCTTGCAGATATCATCTATTCACATGCCATTAGGAATGCATAACGTTTTTATGATTCCTACGCAGTTATAGCTAAGCACAAACAATGTTCAAATCCAATTCTTGAATAATGGACTTTATGTATTTTGATAACTCTTCTTCTATGAAGAAATCTAAAGCCTCAGTACTCTGAAAATATATACAGCCAGATTTGTAACTCACAGAGAAGATAATTGGATAAATATAGATTTAAAAAAAAAAAAATCAGAAAAAGTCAGTTTTTAAAACCAGAGAGAGTTAAGCAATACAGTATGTGTAATAACTAGACACATTGCTTCTATTCAAGAGGCACTTGTGAAAATACACTGTCAAATTAATCACCTAAGACATAGCTTCAGAAAATAGTAATCACAGGGACAGTTTCATACACTGCTATAAAGGGACTATGATAGCAGGTAAAACAAATATGTATCCATTGACAGAGATAAGACTGGCAATTAAGTTATAATGCCAACCCATGGATGGCAAATAACCATAATCAGTCATTAAACAGCATCGTTACTCCAATCTCATAGCTCTTAGCACACAGGTTATAATGCAACAGGTACTTACAGATACGTAGTCAAGCCTTCCCCTTTCAAACTACAACATACATCTAGCAACTAGAATTTAAAGTTTAAGTCAGAGGCTTAATTCTAACTCCTGCCAGTTCATGTTCACACTAACAGAAGCGTGGTGTGCACCCAGAGAACAGGTAGCCCAGCTGAACTGCTACAAAAACAGATAAATACTGCAATTTACCACCACCCCCAATTTGTATTGATGACAGTTACTGTTATTACCTCTATTCTTGGTTTCTTTGCTTCTGCTAATATTTCATCTGCTGCTCTTTTAACTACAAAAAAAAGAGGACATAAATGTAAGATTGTAGTAGACTTTCACAAAATAAACCTCAAAGTTATTTTTTAGTTAAACTGTACCTTGAGTGGACCGTTGAAGACCAATTTCAAGTGGAGCACTTCTGTCTATGCTTGATGAGGTTGCTGTAATCAAACACAACACTTCATTTAAGTACAAAAGACTTGCAAAAGCAGAAAAGGAAGGACGACACATAAATTGCAACAACAGAAATTCTAAATAGATATTAGGTAGCAAAGGTGGTCAAACATTGGAACCGGAGATATTCAGAACCTGACTGAACATGAAGTTAGATCAGGTTGCTCAGGGCCATTTGGCCCTTCTTTGAAAAGGGGATTGAACCAAATGACCTCCTGTGGTCCCTTCCAACATAAATTAGTCAGTGATTCTACAATCTGTCTATACCACATAAAAGAAAAACTGAGTCACATAGATAGTTACTTTATAACCTGGAATCAAGATCTACTAGTTTGTCTAGTTTTTGGAATAAAGACAACCTGCTGGTCCCTTTAAAATACATATAAAAAATGGTTTACTGCTCATATTACAGCAATAATCTCATATTCCAGTATACTTAAAATTCTAAGACCACCTACAAAACAGAGCTACTTACAAAAGCAAGCCATATTTCTCTTTCTCTCAGAGAAACCTCTTTTCTCTGGCTATTGTTAACAAAAATTATAAGATGATGGAATACTAGGCAAATCTGCCAGACTGACAAAGCAGTCATTTCATATATTTCACTATACTGAAGATTTTATCCCACAGGCTTATTGTATATCAAGATCAACACACTACTGTAAGTTTCCTCACAGTCTAGAGAAGGAAAAAATATAAACACTAAGCATCCTAACACATAACTATCAACCAATGGATGTTAATAATAATAAAAAGGTAAATCACTTTAAACATGCATGTAGGAATGCAGCTCCTATCTAAGCGCCATAAGAACAGTTAGTTTCAGAACAAAATTAAAAAATAAATCTTAACTTTAAGAAGTTTGAACACATTCAGTTAAGCTGCAAACGGACCATCGCTAACCACCCTTCCCCTCCTACCCCTCACTTGTGCCATAAATACGAAGCAGTAAAGCGCACTACGTGTCTAAGTTAAAAGAAAGCACCACTCACATGTCTCCCCATTCAGGTATGCAAGCAAGTCCTTTCTATCAGGTCTTCTGACCACAGGAATGTTTTCAGTCTGAAAAGACAGCAGACTTGACATCAAATGGTTATTCCCTCAAAGTCTCTTGCTGAAGATTTTTCACTTTTATAGAAAACTACTCATTCACACAGAGACAGGAACATGTGTCCTGCCTCCCAAGAAAGCATAACTATCAAGCTTAAAAATACAACTACTTCCTAGAGAACGTTCAACTACACAAAATGAAACGAGTTGTCTACTATAAAACTGAAAGAGAAGACAGCCTTTTTCCTCCTTCACTTCAAACTTGCAAATACGATTAAGAACTAGCTTTTAACACGCACACACTTCTCTACCAGGACTCGATGCCGGTACGCAGAAATTGAGTATTTCAATTTTGTTGTTTCAAGTCTGTATAACACACAGCACTGTTGTATCAGGCAACCATGTGGCACAGGGGAAGATGAGGCATGGGCTCATAGTAAACTGTCAAATGGAAATCAAAGGACTCTCAGAGTTCCCCTATCTTAATTTGTAGAGCTTATGCAATAATTCCTTTAATTAGATTGCATACTTCTGAGTCCAATTCAAAGCTATTCTGCTGTACTTTTCTCTCTTTTGTAGATCCTTGCAATCTCAGGCACTAAAGGGTCATCTAGATTGGGATCGCACAACAGCAACCAGATGGACAAAGGTACTTTTGAAATAGTTAGTGCTGGAGATAACTTTGACCGTCAAACATCAAGAGAAATGCTGGTATTACTGTTAATATTCAGGTGACAGACTCTTGTTGCAAATGCAACCTGGTGGTTTGAAGGGATAATCACTTAGGAAGTGAATTGTCAAGAAAAACTTTCCACCTTGATAGGGACTGCCACTTGATCCCTCTGTAGAGGCGTTCTTTTCAAAACATACATGCACACTTCATTGCATATCTTTTTCTCTTTCCCCAGCCAAATTCATACGCTTAAATGCTACTATCGTTCCCTGAAGATAACTACGCACATATTACTTATCATAAACACGACAAAGTAAAATTTTATATGGTCTACTTACTGCAGCACGGCGGACATAAACAGGATGTGAAAGGTGCACATTATTGAGCAGGAACAAGATAGAATCCAAAGTGTAGTATTCCCTAGGTTGGCCTTCTTTCCCTGTCCTGTAAAATCACAAAACAAAGATTTTATCATTTAACCTCTCCATCTCTGTCTCATGCACACACTTTTTTAGCAAAGTTCTCTTTTCTTTCTAGATGACAGTTCAAAAAGCAAGCAGTAATATCATTATCAGACTATTGCCGAACCAGTGAATTATCAATTGTGTTAACAAATACGAGCAAGGGATATTTGTTCTTGCAGCCTCTTTACTGAACGCATCATAAAAACTGTCCAAAACAAGAGCTGGACGGGTTGTAACACATACAAGCAGCAAGATTTGGCACACTATAAGAAAACACTCTCCCACATCTCAAACTTATTTATTCCAATTATCAAAGGAACTGTCTACCTTATTTGGGACAGCTAGAGGGGTGTAACTGAACTGCAAGTGAAAAAAAAAAAAATAGCACTATGTGCTGTTCAGGTATGACGGGACAGAATTTTCACCTTTAGAGAAAGCACAGTGAAGAACTCGGAATACACAAATTCCACAAAGTCTACAGAGCAAAAGGTTCAAAATGGTGTCAAAAGATAAAAAGAAGGAATGACTAGAAACTAATTGCATGCAAAACTCTAGCAAAACCAAAACTGACTACAAAATCACAATGAACTCCCATACTGAGGTCAGACCACTTCAGAGCAACATGACAGCATCAAGTTCCATCTCAGTTTCAAACCAGCTTCTTTGAAATAGACACCTTTTAAGTCTCAAAAGGAATCTGTTCTGTGTAACAATTTAAAAAAAACAGTTGCCCAAAACAAGGCCAAACAAAAACTGTAGTTTCCGCTTGGCTCCATGTGCATTGAACACAATTCCCCTCTCACACATGTTCAGCCCTTTATGCTGTTACTAGAAGACTCTGTAGGGGAAGCAATGCTTGTCCCAGTTTCAAAACAAAACGTGCTCCCCAAATACTTCAAGTGCTCTAAGAAATGGATCCTTCCATCAGTTTCATAGCCCTCAGTGGGACCAGGAAATCAGGGAGAGCAGGGACTCCACTGCCCAGACTTGGGCTCCAAGCAGGACATGGCTCTTACACCCTGCCCAGTCCCTGCCCCGACCAGTCAACTCACCTCAAAGCCTGAGGAAGGCGACCCACAAGAAGAAACAGGCCAAAACTGTAAAATTTAAGACTGGCACAGAATTTTGATCAAACCACAGATTTCAGGAAGAAATACTTCCATGAAAACCATATGAAAGAGTTATTCCCTCCAAGTACAGTGGCTTTACTCATGGCTCACCGTCAACATGGAAACACTACAGAAGTGCCAACCTCACTGGGGGAATGGTGTGGAAATAAAAAATACTCAATCATAACTTTCTTGAACCTGAAAGAGCTACAAAAACATCTACTAAATGCAACAGAAGTGTAAGTCTGTTTTCTCCGTACTGTGGACATAATTCCACTACTGCTTTTCTTGCTATTACTTTTTTGAAATTATCTAGACTGAAACCATCCAACAACCTGTTCAGAACTCATTACAAGCAGTAAGGTTGAAAACATTTCACAATAATGCCAGAGAAAACCAATACATGAATAACTTGCAGAGAAAAGCGATACAAAATACCAGAAGAACAGTAAAATACAGGATCCTTCTATCACTGTCCTTCTAAAATGTAATCCCCACGGTGTGGGGGCAGTGTACACATTTAGCTGCTGAAGGTGAAAGGGAAGATACACAGTATCTTTCAAATGCTAAGAAGCCAAAAGTCGGCTTCACAATTACAGCCAACAGAACTAGCAAGGAACAGATTATTTTACTGTTTCACTGCTATCTTTGAGAAGGTGTTATCTCAACATATTCAGATCACTGGTAGAAACAAAAGCTTCTATGGAAGACCACATAGCCTTGGCTCGGAACTGCAGTCTATGTCACATGATACAGTCATCACTTCATTATAAAACTAACTTTTTAGATTATCTCACTTCAGAATAACTCATTATTTCTTTAAAGCATGTCATATCTGCTGAACATTATATAAAAAGTCCAGCCGGTCATCTATTCAAGTTTTTAGCAATAAACGACATAATTTAGAAAAACAAGCACTGAACTATTGTCTATTAATTTGAAAATACAGTATTACAAAGCCAGAGGCAATGCGAAAGCTCAGCAGGCCACAGCTGGTCCTTCATCACTTAAACCACACACACAAGAAATCCCCACACTCATTGTGGTTCTAAGGGGATATTTTATTAGGAGGACAAGATATTGCACATTACAGGGAAAGTGTCAGATGGACAAGCAGTTGTATGCAGGGAGAAAAATCTAAGTAGAAACTGACATTTCAGGATTAGTTTGTGTTCCTTTCAGATTTTCCAGACAGAGAGAACCACCTCAATAAAGAGAGAAATAACAGCAAGCTGATCTGAAGGTAGCTTGCTTTGTCCAATTTACAAAAATCCAAAGTATCAAAAGAAATTAATTATCTTATTTCCCATATTTAGTAATGGCATCAATCACTTCAGAAAAAAATTAAAATGTTAAGATTCAGACCTCAAGAAGTCCAGTACTTATATTTTTGCTTTGATGGTCATTAAGAGTTGCGGCTCTTAAAAAATAAAACTCCACCTTAAAAAAAAAATTGAGAAAATGTTTACATAACGCAAGACAAAGTTTCATCTGCTTGTTTTTAACACGAGAAATTTCCTGCTCATCCATTCACCCTCCGCCTGTGGGTGCTAGGACTTCATTCATTTTTCCTCTTTCATGTTTCAAAGCATGATTTTTTTTTATAGAGGTACTAAAGGCCCATGTCTCATCCACAAAAGAAAGCAGTAAGCTTTAAAAACACAAGAGTAGGCACACAGAGTATCACACAATTACAATACCCATGACCAGCTGCTCACTATTTAAAAACTTCTCAGCTGTGCATACAAGCCCCTCTGCTGGGTAAACAAAGCAAATAAGTTTCTCTGTTAGACTAATTCCTTCCTTCAGTTTTGAAACAGATTCTATAATCACTCTTCAGGGGCCACAGATCAACCATCAGATCAAAACACACAAAACAATCTTAGACCATCCAGCCACCTTCATGTGCCAGCAGGGGTATTCATTTAACTACTATCATAGAATCACAGAATGGTTTGGGCTGGAACGGACCTCAAAGATCAGTTCCAACCCTAGCTCCACCCCCCCTGCCATGGGCAGGGACACCTTCCACCAGACCAGGTTGCTCAAAGCCCCATCCAACCTGGCCTTGAACTCTGCCAGGGAGGGGGCAGCCACAGCTTCTCCGGGCAACCTGTGCCAGGGTCTCACCACCCTCACAGTCAAGAATTTCTTCCTAATATCTGATCTAAATCTCCCCTCTTTCAGTTTAAAGCCAAACCCCCTTGTCCTATCACTACATGCCCTTGTAAAAAGTTCCTCTCCAGCTTTCTTGTGGAAACTAACCTGGATTAAAATAAATTTCTGCTGCCCCCCCCCCCTCCACCCCGGTTACTTTTAACTTGGCTTAGTTCCTCAGACCAATTCACTGTTTGGCTGACGCTTGTGCTAGCATAGAGAGAAGGCCGTGCAGCACAGCACTGCCAACTTCTGCCAGCTTAGCTGCTCAAGGAACCACAGTGTTAAATGTCTAGTGAGACTACTTCTAATTCTAGCAGGGACAGAATGCCACCGTCGCTGTTCCGACTTGCATTACTCTTTCCAGACTGGCAGTAGAGGTGTAATTACAGCAACCGTGCTGTGGACCCCTAAAACAGGAATCAAGATTTGCTTCATGGAAGACTAAGGCACTAACGACTGCTCAGTGCAAGCATAGTTTGGATCCTGTTAAGTGACCTGAATATAAAAGGTTTTGAATCTTTAAAGTTTTGAAAGTGTTCCTCATAAGTCTAGCAATTACATAAATTAACACCTCCTAAACTGGTATCAAAGCTACTGAGTACGGCTTGCAGAACTGGTCTCATTTTTACAGCATCTTCAATTTAATGATTAGACATATAACTCCACAGTGGTTTACAAGAAACATTGTGAATTGACAGCAATCTGATCCTACCAAAAGTTCAGAAGTCACTGCTCTAAACCAAGATTTACTAACCTACTTCAAATAAACCAACCAACAAAACCCCATTCAAATTCTACAAAACATCTATCACAAGAGGCAAGGACCCAAACAACTATTATGAGGTTACTGCTGCTGTCCTGCTCAGAGTATCCTCTGTTCACCCACAGTTCCTTCTTGATCATGAAGACAAAACTGCCTGAATGTTCATAATAAAGTTTTTCTCTCCAGCTGCTGCCTTTTGTTAATAACTTGGGCCTAATTCAGGCTCTCCTAAGCAGCAGTAGAGTTAGGCTGGCACATCAGTTTCTCTGTTCCCTACAGAAGAGCAATGAAACTTGCCTGTCTAGTCAACCACTACTTGTTACTGCTTGGGAAAAGCAACTTGTAGCAAGGAAACTACCACAACTGTCTATACAGTTGCTCAGCAAAAATAGAACCAAGACTTTTCAAGAATTTTAAAACTGTTTATGCAAATATTTTTCTTCCTTTTCAGTCTATACCAGTATCCACCACTCAGCCAGGAAGTGCAAATAAATCCCAAACAAGTTTCTGAAAGCTTGAAGCAGGTAATGAAATAGCACACTGCTAGTTTTAAACAGTGCAAAGTAAAATCAGTTTAAAAAAATTAAAAATCTGTCTACAAGTTAACATGAACAAAGAGGTTTCTTTCCTTTCTGTCTCAAACCAGAAGTCAGAATATTGGATCAATACTTACATTCATATCAAAATTATGAAAACTAAAAAAAAAAAATAATATATATATATCCCTGGTCATTGACTGAACTACAAGTGTTTGGGTTTTTTTTTTTCAGAAATCTGCAGGTTCTTCTGTGTTTCCATCAAGCTTCACAGGGTAACATACTCTCTTTGATCAGTCCCTGAAACATTTGCTGTCTGATATTTAATAACAAGCGTTGTTTTTTTCTGTTGGATTTAAGAGATTCATTGAAATCTTTCTAGTGAGGACATAAAAAGTAAGCAGTTGCTAAA